AGATGGTGGGATGGAAACATTCAAAAATCCACTCTCGTATTCAACTTTTCTAATTTCCCTCTCATCATTCCCAATCAAATCGACGATCATATAAGGGAATAGTCAGGATATATATTTCAACACCACTTTTTCGATAACCATTATTCGTTTGATTTTAGTAGAATCACATATTAGGCCACTTAATCTGCATCAGTTTACCAACCGAAGACAACAAATCGATATAAGAACTGTTCAAGTAAATTACAATATCTATTACCAATAAACAGGTGTAAAATTAACCTAGAATAAATGTGAAGACCAGCAGTTAAATTTCCAAGAGTATAGTAATAACTACAAATGAATTTGATTTCGTTAACTCACATCATCCTTTTCGAAATAAAAAGATCTAGAATCCGTATCCGTGATATTGTGGTAAATTTATTTCCATTTAAACCATGTTTCCGGTATCAAGTACTTCCGTACATATTGAAGTCCACATAGTGAATGAATACCGCACGAAAATAATATTCACAGAGAACTACATTCCAAGCTTTACCTTACCATTGATTTGATTTTCCAACCTGTAAGATGAAATGTTACGCACTGTTGCGTTTATAGAAGACGCTGGCAAATAGCTGTCAATGACTGAAATAATGTTGCTTGAAAATTCAAGCTCTTATACACAGCACTTGTACCGTAAACGTACACAATAGTGTTCGAATATACTGGATATTATACATTTTTGAATATTGGGAAGAAGGATGGTTAATTTCAAATGTACTTACATGAATCTATGAATTCTATCCATTTATGATTTCAGTAGTATCCTCTTGAAATTTTAACTGTTCATCATATATTCTTATGGATTGCATGAACATTCCTTAGAGTACATACACGATTAGTACTCCACAACTCGAACTATACGTATGTGAATGTGTGATATTCAGATTAAGAATCTCAGGATGCCATTCAATAATATGATATTTATTACAGGTACAATACGAACAAGGATATTCACCTTTGAGAACAGAGAAAGAACGAGAACATTTGTTGACATTCTATAATTCGACTTGATACACACCAATCAGCAATCAACTAGACAAATGAGTTTCTCTCAAATTTGTGGGACTTGTAGCCTGACGAGAATGTAAAGTGATGATAATCAGAATAAATATAAAGGACAGCTGGATTTCGTAAGCTGTGATATGGGTTATTATGCAGAGCGATATAATTGTATATATTTATCAGTAATTTTGCTTCTAATTTGTTAGCCAAACATACTTTCTCGTTCTAGTAGTCAGTTGTGGAGTTAGTTTGTAGGACTAGTTGTTCTACGCACATCGAAAAACGTTTACTTTCAAGAACCAAACCAATTAATAATATTTAAAAACACGACTTTCAACGAATAGATCTCTTTCGGAGGGACTGATTATCAAGCTGTATACTTGTATACAGATATGAAGATCTTTTCACTAAACGTACTGGTTTCGTGATGAATAGTTGAAATGATGTAATAGTGAGGTTATAATACTAGATCACGTAATATGAATAAAAACAATAGACCTAATAATTTAACATCGAGCCACCACATAAATGCTGAAAGGTAATTAACATGCTCATGTAAATAAAGATACACTTAAACACTTATACAGTATTTCATACTTATATATACTACTCATTATTGTATTTCTGTCATCATGAAAACTGTGAATGATTGATTTTCTCTAAGGAAATCACTTACGGTGTTATGATCAATTTCTCAAGTACTTTCAGCGATTAACAGTCAGTTGATCTGGAAATCATTACGATGATTTTCAAAATTAGACAAGCACGGGAAACAACAAGGAATAACCAGAGACAATTTGTGTTAAGGAGGAAGTGATAGGGGGTTGAGAGCATAGTGAAAATAAAGCATGATTTAATCAATCGTAATAACCTTGACAATAATGTAAAATAAAAATGTTATTAGTGGTAAATAATAATCAAAAGTGACTTGATCAATTAAGTTTATATTCAACATTTAGCTTCCTGAATTCAAAAGTGCAGTTTACAAAATATAATTTAGCATGGTAGATATAACTGCAGAACATTTTGAATTGTCTGCAATTGTAAAATATATACCATCTACAAGAGTTGGAACCATTTAGTCATTCAACAGAACACTAGATAAGCCGTTTCATGTTATGGTAATCAGAGTATGTATAGTTGGAGGGAATTACAATAGGAAGTCTTGAGCTCTATACAAGAGCTGATGTTGCTCCGGGGGAGGGTTCGAATCTACCTCAACACTGTGTTACAGTCAGAGATATTACTATATCATATATAAGGTTGTAGGTGTTCAACTGACGAGAACACCTAAATGTACAGCTTCTTTATGATTGTCTTCAACCACTTAAAATCAAAGCATAGTATACGCGATGACTAGTGATGAAACTAGCTTAATACTAGCGAGTAAATATACTTGACATTGGTTAATGCCAAGTGATCAGTCAGATTCACATATCATAGTTGAAGTTTAAAAAAAAGATAGTTCCTGAATCTATTCATAAAAAGCCAACAACCAATGTATTAAGGACCTCGGAATTGAAACATTTCAAACGTTATATTGACACGGAAAAAAGAACAGAATAAAACAGGTAGAACTCACCTCCAAGAACATATACATCAATCCAAGGTAACCAGTTATTAAACAAGCAATAGCAAAATCAAATATGGACGACTTTAGCCTTCAAGAGGAAAGAAAACAGAAGATAAAACTTCCTTTAGAAGATATCTTTATGAATTAGACAGGTTAATGGTTGAGTTTTCATTGTCATTTTAGACACAAAAATGAATGAATTGCCGTTTTATTCCCGCATTTATTGAATGAGATTCGAAATGGGAAAGAGAACATAAATAATCACTGGTTTTTTAATTAGAAATCTTGTATTAAATTAGCTAGAAATCGACAGAGTTATATATACACAAGGCAGTAGAGCAACGTCAGGAGATGCATTCCCATGGTACTCGGTCACCAGTAATTGGTTCATACGCCATTCGTTTCCTCAGGATCGTGGAGCTCATGTGCACTATTGGTTTGGAATCAGGGTTTTCCAACTCCTCTAGGTGAATCCTCTGTATCCACCAACCCGGTTAAAATACCGGAGTTTCACTTTTCGTCCCCTCAATTCCGTAAACAATACCTCCGGCGCGAGAAGGCGATGATTAGGACTGACACTCCCCAACCTCGGCTGTACCAGAGGTATTTGGGAGCAAACTTTTATACGTGATTACCTGATACTCTACGGCTTTTAGACGCAAAAATACCAACCTAAAATAAAACAGCTATTCAATATAATAAATCTAATACTTTGAACAGTTCAGACGATGGATTTCTTTTAGTCTTTGAAAATTTTCAACTCCTTCAAAAGGAAATAGAAGCACTACTTTGAACGTTGAATTACATATAAAAATAGGTGTTTTCAATAGTTGAGATCATGGGTTAATTGAAACTAGACCACCATGAAAAACCTGGAAGCATTGGACGGCCGTTTCGTTCTATTGTGGGAGTCCTTAGCAGTGCGCATCCACGACTGGCTCCAAGATGTATATCCTGGAGTTCTAGCAAGAAGCAGTGACCAGTGGAGTTAATCGAGTCAGTTGTGAGATAGTAATTCACTGATGACAATGGTGGATTAGTTGAAGTTAGACATTAACACGATTGGATACCGTCCATTTCAGTTGTCTAGAGGTTAAGCGCTCGCGCGCGCGAGACTGATAGGTCCTAGGCTGGAATCCCACGTGGTGGGGTTGTGAATGCGTATCGCTGAGGGGTTTCATACTAGAACGAAACGGCCGTCTAATACTTCCAGGTTTTCCATGATGGTCTAGCTTCAATTGGCTCATGATCCCAACTATTTAGGTTACTACAATCTTCACAAAACCCCTCCAAATAGAGGTGTATTTAAAAAAATCAAGGTTCTAGAAGATTCGGGGAAAATATACTATTCCATTGGATTTAGAAGAAGTATAATAAGTTTGTTATTGATAAATCTTGCTAAACGAGGGCTGTATTCGGTCCATAAGCTATTATTGTAACTCCCAATCTAGAACTAAACAGCGACCTGAACACGAGAGAAAAGGTGAAAAGTATGCGAGAAGTACTTTACTCCAAAGGTTCTTCCTAGTAGAGAAGAAACAGGGTTTTTATAGTATTTTAGATGTCCTTGGATTTCCCGAAGATTCTGGGATGCTACTCAACATAGTTGCAGTATAGTAATTAGCCAATCAGAAACTCTACATGTGACTTTTCACTTTCTTGATGTTTCTGGCTAAAGTTCAAGTGAACACTGATTTGATGAAATGTTTCTTAGTGTTTTTTGAGCCTTTCTTATCTTTTGTGAGACGTGGTCTTGAGTGCTGTTAGACGTATGAGGGCGGTTATCACTTCCCGGTTGCCAACACCGTGGAAGGGCTCTTCTGGAGGTGCCTGAAAAAGAAATTGGATTAGAGGTGGTCTTAGTGACCTGAGAGCGTGACGGCATTGTCCAAGGGATAACTGCTTGTGGTCGGCCACACACGACTTTGTACTTGTTGGGACCTTAGCGCCAGAGACGGATATCCCTAGGATAAGGTGAGATGTGCATTTTTAGGGTCGACCTTTACTAACACTACCCCTCCTTGTGGGAAGACTGCATAGCTATTATACTGGTTGTCTGAAAGAAACACCTTACTGCTGTCACACCTCTGTACAGTCAGCAGTACGACTTCGCCTTCGGACCTTTCAGTCTTACCGCTCTTCAACCGACCTGTCTGACATGGTAAGACCTTGGGGAACGGTTGTTCCAGACAGTATAGCTCGGTTGCTTCATCACGATAGGCAAACCCGACCACCACGTCAAGGTCGGGTTAAATTTTCCAAGAAATCATCAACAACTTCTAATACTATAATATTGATGTTAATGAAGATGAATTACACCTTTGTCATTTGTAGAACAAAAGAACACAACTATAAACAACAAAACCTACCCGACATTTACAACTTACCTATGAACAGACATAATACATGGAATTATATCAGTATATAAAATAACATCTATTTCTGTAGATGCTGCCAATGAAGTAATAATCATTGATGGTATTGAATTGAATTCTGTTTCACTAGAATCTAAATGAGTATTACTTTTTATACGATTATTTTTATGATTAGAAGAAGATGAAGATGATGTTTTATCATTGGATTTAATAGTTTCATCATTTAATGAATATTGAATTGAATGAACATCATCAATCATTTGTGATAAATAATATTCTAAATCTTTTATAATACTTGTTCTATTGATGAAAGAATCTTTACGATCTGTTGAAGTGATATATTCCATAGATTTATAATGTGTAATCCATTTGGAAGTTAAATATTGTGCACTTCGAGGAGTTTTAGTAATTAAATCTAATAATGTACTTGTTGTGATTTCATTAGACCACTATATATATACATGTAAAGGAAATAGATTGGATAAAACGCTATTAATTTCAAAGTAAGTAAGTATTGAATTATAAAAGTGTAGAAGAACTGGATGGTTGTTTCATTCTATTGTGAGACTCCTCAGTGGTGGTGTGCGTTCACGATCCTACCTCATAAGATTCGAATCCAGGACTTATCGGTTTTGCGCGCGCGAGCAAGCGCTTAACCATTAGACCATTGAGCTGGTCGGTAACTAACGGTATGAATGACTGGGTTTGAATCTCGTGAGGCGAGATCGTGGATGCACACTATCACTGAGGAGTTTCACAATAGGTCTGGCTTCAACTGACTTTTGAATTCAACTATTAAAATTACTATAATTTAGTACAAGTAAAACATTGGCTTTTACAGTTACAGTTTCATGATACTACCTTTTTGTTTAAACTGAGGTAAAGATGAGATGAGCGTCAGAACCTGAGACTTCATTCATTTAAATTATAATGATTCAGGGGGAAGAACCCACTATATTCACAGTAAGATGTTGAACTGGTTTACACATATTACTATCCTTGGTTAATTGTTTATAGTTATGTTGATGAATGTATACTATTTAATTGGGTTAAATGGGATTATCGTAATCCATGGATGGAGACATTAGATGATATATTTCAGGATCGGTTGCAATAACTTAAATGCATTCACTCTGTCATTTCAAGTTTCAAAATTATCTTGTACTTTTTATGGTATGAATTAATTTTTTCCTCATTTATTCACGTCCATATCTAACGCTTTTCAATGTCCTTGATACTGTTACTGCTTCGATGACTGGCATTTGTATTGATTATATAATATTGATATACTGATAAAGTGAGTTAACTTGAAATGATTCACATATGTGCCAGATCCTACGTTATTCATGACTAACGCTGATCGAATCCCATACTATCCAGCTATCTGAAAGGAAGTAGGTGTAATGAAGTTCAAATCTGTGACCTAATAGTTGAAAGTTGAGCCTCAGAAAACCACTACTATAAGAAATAAAACTTGGGAATAAATATTTTATACCTGTAGACGTCATTAACTGTATGAGTTCCATCTATTCTTTTTGTATACATTACGGACTAAATTTTGTGACTTTCTATTGGGGGATGGTTGTCAGAATAATACCATATAAAAGTTGATTGTGCTCTTATCATTAGACTAACTAGCATTACAATCCAGAATGTATTTTGTCACAATGAATAATTCACTTACTAAATAAATGTTTGTATAGTAAGACACGTGCAAAACTTTAGCTATGAGAGTTAATGATACCATCCGACTGTACAAAGTTGTGACTTAGCCATTAAACCATTACCACAGTAATGTTTAAAGCATTGGGTAGTGAATACAAGTTTTGGCATGAATATTATCGTTGAGATACAGATGTAAATCCGGTTAATAAACCTAAAATTTTATTTATTTAAACACATAAACATTGGTACAAAGGAGTACCGAATACATATGTGCCACACAAATCTCATTTGATTTGTGTGAGGGCTGTGATACTACCCGAGTGCCCAAAACGAAGTAGGTGGTTTTCTTAGGGGGTCACACCCAGAGCATTTGACCTGAAGGTCTAATCCACAAGGCAGTGGAGTAACATCGGGAAATGAAGTTCAACGGTAGACGGTGACCAATAATTGGTCCATACGCCATTTGTTCCTTCAGCATCCTGGAGCTCATGAATTTTATTCGTTTGAAATCAGGGTTTTCCAACTCCCCTAGGTGGATCCTCCGTCCCCACCGACCCGGTTAAAGCGCCAAACATTCGCTTTTAATCCTTTCAAGTTCGTAAACAACACCCCCACCATGAGAAGGCAGTGAGTAGGACTTCCCTGTCAATGGCCATATGAGAGCATTTCGATAAGGAGAACTAACTCTCCCCACTCTCAGACATACCAGAGCATTTGAGAACAAAACATTTTAAGCCAGTAAACAAATGAACAAAACAAACTAAAAATAAATAAATTTACATGAGATTCAACAATTGGTGAATTATTCATGATAATTGACTGATTTGAATGTATATCATATAGAACACGTAGTAGAGCTTCTAAAATAACACGAGTATTTCGAGCTAATACAGCTGAATGAACAGTACCATAATGTAGAGTAGTTTGATTAGAAAGATCCATTGATATATGATTATTATTATTATTATTCTTATTGATAATATGAATACCATCTAAAGATGTTTGACGCCATTGATTTGCAATTTGTACAGATGGCCAATTAGATAATGTTAAACTGGGTAAACGATGTATAGAGAATCGTTCATGTTCCCATGCTAAAATTTCTTGATTTAAATTGATTTTTTTATGAATCATTTGAATGGTATTATTGTTGGATTCATTATTATTTGGTGATTGATGATGATTGTGAAGTAATACCTGAAATTAGGATGAAATATTCCCCCCCCCATTTTTTATAAGATAGACATAAAAACAACAAATTAAAAATAAAGTAGAATCTATAGCTCAGTTGTAACTTAGAGATAAGGTAGACAAAAGTGTTGTGTTCTAATAGCCCTGTTAATTACCATGTGACGAAATCACCGATCACAAAACCGATTTATATGACTTTGGCACTGTGCCAAACCAATGATGTCTTAACCGGCATAAGCGACCTAGAGTCAACTCTGAGTCCTTATTAGTCCTTCTTGTCTTGCTTTACCCTGCCCTACCTACTGAATTCAGAACACAATCTCAGTCTTCATTGTACGAATAATGATATTTCACGCATAAGCAGTTTATATACAAGCAAATCAAACTACATCCAACCATAAAAATTGGAATTAACTTAATGAATATGGTGAATGTTTCTATGTTAATTTTAGTGATAAGTTTAATAGAAGAAATGATCAAACTGACATAGTCAGCAACGACGTAGAACTTTGTACGTATGTACTTCAGTTCAAGTTGCCACACCACATTAGAACAGAGATGCAGTTGTCGATTCAAATCCCACAGTGGTAGAGGTAGTCAAAGTATAGACAGTAATCGGAAAGATTAGGGTTTGAAGATTTTATTCAAAGAGTATAATGCAGTAAAATCAACTTGTAAGGTGAAAAAAAAGGAACACGAAGAATTTGGGAGAACACAAATAGTGGATGCACCTGCAACATTGCAAACGATTTTGAGCCATGTCATTCAAGGTCTCTAACCATCGGTTGCTATCGTTTCACGGATTCCAACCAGGTAGTCTACACTTACAAACATGGCTCAGTGTACTTATCAGCGACTTCATGGATTTGTGCCGTGTCTCAGTCTGGCCGTCCACAGCTTTCTTCCAACATACTTCTATACCAGAAAACATCGCTCGTCGGGGCAGTCTGTGGTTGGTTAAAGAAAACTCTACCTGTAGCTCTTTTTTTACGGTTACTGATGGTCCCAAGCCCAGGTAAAGGAGGAGGTTTGAGCATGGGGTCAACAACCCTAGTCCATAAGAAACAACCTTGCTATAAAAAGACTAACCGGAGTATGTTAAAGAAATCAGGTAGATGTAATGTGATACATACTTTTCATACAAACGACGAAGAATAGATTGACCAACATAACTGAATTATTCTACGATTTGCAAACAAAGAAATAATCACAATGATCAGAACATTCATTTCTTGAAGTTTACCCATGCTAGGCAGGTTAGCTGGCGAGTGGTGAAACTGCAAGCACCAGTAACTGAACATCTGATGTTGCTTTCCAACTATGAGACGGAAGGACTAGAAAATGTCGACCCTAAAAGTAGTACACTTTACCGTTACCGAAAGTAAGACATTAACAGTACAGAGTTGGGAGATTAAAAACTACTCACAATAAGGTAGTGTGCGACAAAGTTTAAGCAATTGTCTCTCTTGGGTTTTGTCATCATCAAGACCATTAATAATCCAGTTTTTTGGGTCGTTTAAGGATAAATGGTGTAGACACTCGGGAAGTGATACCCGTCCACATACCTCTAACAGCACTTGGACTCATCAAGCTCACGATGAAATCACATAGTCAACTATAATGTAACAACTTTGGCTGACAGACATTTGTGCTATTTTGCTTATGACTGACTGATTTGTTTAGATGAATAGATTATTAGTCTCAGTAGTATCTAAAATTATACTGGGAAAATGAATTACAGTGAAATATATATGTATGTATACGTATTATATAAGAGTAAATTTACCTCATTTGGAAATGAATGTAACTGACTGGCCACATTTAAAGCTTTAAGAAAATGATATAAAAATGAACCTTCTTTTGGTGGCTTAGATACATGTGCATAAATATTTTGACCAAAATTCGGTGAACCTAAACCTTCCAAACAGATCACATGTGCAACAGAATCCAAAAGAGCTGGAATATACATATATTTGAAAAAAAGACAATGAAGAAATTACTGAATTAAACATGTCACTAGTGAAACAGTTATGAATGCAACGATCATCATAGGAATAACGCTTGGAAGCAGTCTTATTTTCTCTCATAAACATTGATACAAGGAGGCACCAAATAGATAAACACCATATAAATCATTCGATTTGTGTGAGGGCTGTGATACTGCCCGGGTGCTCAAACTGAAGTAGGTGGTTTTCTTAGGGGCCCACACTCGAAGTTTTTGACATAAAGATCTGATCCACAAAGCAATGGACCAACGATAGGAGATGCAATCCCATGATATTAGAATATTTTTCACAGGTGTATTTACCTGATCAGTTTCGGTTAGCATATAGGCTCCTTAAGTGAATTCTATGTATGATATTGCGTATATAACCGCAATTTTATTATATTTCAACTAGAAGCCAATAATGGGATAGAGGTTGCCTATTTTATTCTATTTTACATTCACCAGCTAAACCAATTTAGTCTTGAATATCAATATCGCAAAAATACCAAGCTTCTGCAAATACTGATGTAAATCATATGTCTTGTACAAGGTGGGGTCAAAATCGACTCAATATCTCAATGGATAACTAATTAAAGTGATACGTACTGGGGTTTGAGTCTATATATAAAACATCGACACTAGGATGAAGTAGGAGTTCCAAGTAGGACGAAACATAGGTATTACATTTCAATGCCAATAACTCCTAAAGATAACGCCTTGCTTTTTCCAATAGTCGTTTAACCAGTATCCACTTACAATGATGGTCATATTGAAACTTATCTAAATTCCTTAATCTATTATGGTACGAAACGTATGAGATGCTTAATCTGTATAACTTAGTACAGACAGATAAAAATAATATCGAACGTGCTAAAGAATAGGGAACATATCTTTCTTGAGAGGAGATACTAGTCGCAGATATTAACTACTAATGTTAATTTTATGAACTTTCAAGAATGTAGCAATGGCTTAGTGGTAAAGAATTTCAACATTCAACCACTGGATCATATGTTCGGGTCCCACCCCAACCCACTTAATTCGGTTACAAAAGATAGATCTTACACACCGGATCTTTAAATTTAGAGGACGAATCAAAGTCAAGTACATGGATATGTACATGATAAAGGAATTATTAAGACCAAATCTTACGTAAGATTTTCTTAAAAGCGTATCATTTTAAAAAGAAGTAGACGACTGTGGATTATTACTGGTTTACACTAATGCTAAGCAACATACTTAAGCCAACAGAATCTTCAATATTTTGATCAAGCCATCGTTTGGAACCAACAAAGTTGAATTTTCCACCACCAGTTAAAAGGAAAACAATTTGATATCTGAATAAGAAAAATTGAATAAACAAATTCATTGAATGTTATGCCTTTTTATGATAAAAAAAGTACTCAATATAGAGATGAGCTAAACACAGTCGAAGAAACTACTTTCAAGATTTTACATAAAAAAAACTGGAAACAACTGAATCATACCTTTAACGGCATAAGATTTATGAAAGACATACCATAGTAATGTACTACAAACGTTCGAAATTCTTTTTATCGAAACAGTAAAAATGATAATTCTAAACGGATTCTTTATAAATAATTCCCTGAATGACCTAGTATTGCCGAGAGTGGAGAGGGTCAGCTCTCCCTCTTGAAATGCTCTCATATGGCCACATGTATCCAGCCACTGTCGGGCAAGTCCTACTCACTGCCTCCTCGTGTCGGAGGTGTTGTTTACGGAATTGAGAGGATGAAAGGTGAAACTCCTGCACTTTAACTGGGTTGGTGGATACAGAGGATTCACTTAGAGAAGTTGGAAAACCCTGATTCCAAACCAATAGTGCACATTGGCTACAGGACCCTGAGGAAACGAATGGCGTATGAATTAATTACTGGTGATCGGGTACCATGGGAGTGAATCTCCTGACGTTTCTCCACTTCCTTGTGGATCAGACCTTTAGGCTGAAGGCTCCGGGTGTGGCCCCCTAAGAAAACCACATGCTTCGTTTTGGGCACCCGGTCAGTATCACAGCTCACACACAAATCAAGCGTGGCGCAGCTAAACCTGAAACTCAAGACGAGTTACAAGCCTGTATGACAAAAAATGGAACTGATAAAATATTGATTTGTGATCTGATTAATCAACTTAAATTTTCTATATACCACACTAACTCGAAGTTTAGCATTGCTCACTTAGTGATTTTATTGTAGATATGTAAACCTTTAAAAAAAATTGAGGCGTTATACAGAATTATACTTGAATATCGTGACAGTTAAGCGAAAAACGACCGAAAAGCAGGAGCCTTTACCCGAAAAAACAACAACAATTGATTGTTTTTACAACTGAAAGAGTATTAGGAACTGAGTGAAGTGTAGACGATTTTACATAACATATGTAGAATGTTTGGATAGTGAATCTTGTTTTCAAAGCATCAAATAACGAAATTTTGGCGTGAAATTCACTCATCAATTTGGCTAAATAGAGTTTTAGCATTATGGCTGATGTCAGTTCGTGATGAAAACTCTAAATCTAATCTCTAACGCTAACCATCACCTGTAAATCATAGTTCTAATTCATCGACATAAAGAGTTCATCATTTGTGTGTGGGCTGTGATACTGCCCGGGTGCCTAAACAGAAGCAGGTGGTTATCTTAGGGGGCCACACCCCGAGCCTTTGACCTAAATGTCTAATCCACAAGGCAGTGGAGCATCGTAAGGAGATGCAATCCTGTGGTAGCCGGTGACCAACGATTGGTTCATACGCCATTTGTCCCCGTAGGATACTAGAGCCCATGTGCACCATTGGTTTGGAATCCGCTTAAAGTGCTGGACATTCGCTTTTCGTTCTCTCATTTTCGTAAACAACACTAATGCCACGAGAAGGCAATGAGTAGAACTTACCTGGCAGAGGCTGTATACGCGCGGCCGTGTGAGAGTATTTCGAGAGGGAGAGCGGACTCTCCGCACTCTTGGCCGTACCAGGGCATTCGGGGACAGTTCAACTGGCCTGGTGCTCCGGCAACATCGGTCAGACTGTCCTGCCCTCCATGGCCGGTGACGACTGATCCACCAAACGAGGAGGAAGTCCGCAAGGAACTCCAACTCTTGAAGCGTTACAAATCACCTGGCCCAGATGACTTACCTCCGGCTCTCTTTAAAGATGGTGGTGACTTTTTGACTAAGGAATTGACGACGTTGTTTACAACGTTGTTTACCAACGTCATGGAATGAGTCGATAGTCGTCCCTATCTTTAAAAAGGGTTCACGTCGTTCCTGTAACAACTATCGAGGGATAAGTCTACTTCCGATTGCGTCCAAGCTATTGGCTTCCGTCATACTTCGTAGGTTGTTCAAAACCCGAGAAAGATTGACTCGCGAGGAGCAGGCTGGGTTTCGTTCTGGTCGAGGATGTATTGATCATATCTTCACCCTCTGCCAAATGTTAAAACACCGTCATACTTATCAAAGGCCAACAATCGTAGTGTTTCTTGATATCAGGGCTGCATTAGATTCGTTGGACAGGACTGTTCTCTGGGATTGTCTATTGAAGAAGGGTGTGCCTGAGAAGTTTATTAACATCCTAAAAGCCCTATATAAAAACACCTCAGACAGAGTGAGGGCATACAACCACCTCTCTCCATTGTTCCATTCGAGCAGTGGGGTTAGGCAGGGTTGCCCAATCTCATCATTCCTCTTCAACTTTGCCATCGATGACATTCTGGAAACAGCTCTGATGAATGTAAGTAATGGTGGTGTGGATCTGTTGCCTGGAGAAAGACTTCTCGACCTTGAGTATGCGGACGATATTGTCTTACTGTGCAATAATGCCCAAGGCATGCAATCCGCACTTAATCAGTTGGCAATCAGTGTCCGTAGGTATGGTATGTGCTTTGCACCTTCGAAGTGCAAAGTACTTCTACAAGACTGGCAAAATTCCAATCCTGTACTCACCCTGCATGGTGAGCAGATGGACGTAGTCGAGAAGTTCGTGTATCAGGGTAGCTGCATAAGTGCTGGTGGGGGTGTGAGTGATGAGATCAATGCACGTATAGTGAAAGCCAGAGCGGCTTATGCCAATCTGGGCCACCTTTGGCGCCTTCGTGATGTTAGTCTGGCTGTAAAAGGTCGGATCTACAACGCGTCGGTGAGAGCAGTTTTGCTCTATGCTTGTGAAACCTGGTCTCTCCGAGTTGAGGACGTTAGACGACTCTCTGTGTTCGATCATCGCTGTCTCCGAAGGATTGCTGACATTCAGTGGCAACACCATGTCAGTAATGCAGAGGTTCGGCATCGTGTGTTCGGGCATAGAGATGATAATTCAATTGGTGTCACCATCTTGAAACACCGACTTCGGTGGCTTGGACATGTTTTAAGAGTTTCGTCCCAGAGAATTCCACGTCGTGCATTATTTGCCGACTCTGGGACTGGTTGGAAGAAGCGGAGAGGTGGTCAGTGCATGACGTGGTGTCGTGGTGTGAAAGAAATCTGCAAAGGACTGGCTTCTGTCGATCCTTCACGACTCCCTGGTTGGGGTCCGAGAGATGGTGTTACACAGTGGCTAGAGACGTTATCAGATATGGCTCAGAATAGAAGCCAGTGGCGATCCTGCTGTAACCTTCTTTTACTTTCTTCATAAAAAGTGGTTGTGTCTCCCTTACCTGAAAGATTTCTTCTGATTGTACCTTTCCGTTCCCCCTTTTCTACCACACTACCTTACATCAATCTCTTCGTTATTGTTCTCTTTTTCTTTTGCGCTCCTTAGCTTTTTTTTCTATTTCTCTTCGAATTCTCATTGTTTTGTGTAGCGCATATATATTGGCGCTCTTCTGTACCAATATTCATGTGTTCAAATAAATAAATAAATAAATCTAATTCATCACGCTGGCTAATAACCCTTATTTGGTTCTAGTTATTAGGTGAACACTCTCAAGGTTACTTTAGCGTCGCTTAAAGGTTGTTCATAAATAATAGTCTCACCTATGTCATTATAGAGAACTCTCAGAATCAATTGTATAATATAACGAATAAATTTTTTAAAACATCTAATCAAATTGTAATTTTTTAAAACACTTACGGCAACTTATTAGCTTCATTTGCGTAGAGACGTGATAATAGACGAGCAAGTTCCAGTAAGATAACCACACCACTACCATTTGCATCGGCTCCATAAGCCAAACTCTGCAACATATAATAACAAAACACTGGAGACATGATTTTACGATTACAGTTACGGTAATATAGACAAGTTAAATGATTTCTGTGATATAAAGTAATTTTATAGCCTGTTGAAGATTCTGCCAGAATTAATCAATTTAAATACGATGTAACCTTTAACAGATGATAAGCTTCAGAAAAATTACATCGTATCTAGGTGGGTACTAACAATTTTTATTATGATTGGGTTACTGTTTTAAAAGCTAAACTGAAAGATCCGAATTCTACCAGATAATCTGTATGATGAATACAAGTACATACGTTCCACGTTGTATAGTAAAATACAAGTATAAGTTACCCTATTTTAGTTGCATGGGACATGGAAGAAACGAAGTGACTAGTGTGTACTTGGATTTCTGAATGGAAGTTCATCTTTTAGTAGATACAGTAACGTTATTAACAAATGTATATATATGTTTGGTATATGCCAAACAACAACACTATAACATAACAAAGAGCGAGCATACTGGAAAAATCTGCTTTAAGAAATCGTCAGTAAGGTGAAGTGTTAATAAAATATATATATTTGACCATAGGTTTATTTTGCAGTGTTCCTAGTGTATATTGGGACAACTAAGAGAAAACACTGGTGAATATTCAAAGTTAGAACGCCGTCACATTAGTTCAATATTTGACAATTTACAGGAATGTCAAACTTACAGGGATTGCTGAAATCGCATCATAATGTGCACAAATAATAATAGTGGATTTAGCACTCTCTTTCCCAAGAAGACCCTAAAAATTAAGTATGACGAAAATGTTGTTACCTCTATGTTTAACACATAATTATCAGCTATAGGCTTTGGTACTGGTGATCCAGTTAACAATCGGTACTCAGTTGACGATATTGCTCGAGTTAAGGCTGAAAGTAAAGTAATATTAAAGGAACTTACCAGATAACCCTGAGCTCTGTGTATTGGACCTAGTGAGTTGACTAACCTGTTCAAATACTTCCTGTACTGATGAAGTGTTAAAAGTAAAGTAGATAGGGATTTGAAATTCATCAGTTAACAGCTCCTTTTCTACATGGATAAAATGCTGAGAAAATGTTGAATAAGTAATGTTACATTTATTAATGCTTGTGACCACGGATGGGATGGTAGAATAATTATAATTCCAGCAACTTTGTGGTAAATGGCATCTTTGATAATATCTACTGTCACTTCTGCTAACCGTAAAAAAAGGCAGTTCCGACCAACTATTTTATTACTTTGTGTTTGGGCTTCACAATTTACAGACGACAATCGACTACCTAGAAAGCTGTGTCATTTACGTGTGCAAAAGAAACATACCAATACGAACACCTTGGAAATCGTACTGTTGGGCGCGATAAACGGTGAATTCCTGAACAGCATCAACAGAAGAGAAAGGCGTCAAAACAAGCAATGTCGATAAGAATATGCACAAATATTGTGGGACGGAGTTCCCCAAACCTAATGCGATATCGTATACATCACTAAACCACATGTTAGACGTAAAGCGCAGTTGAAGGTTTCTCGATGAGGGCACTTATTTGTTGATATCTGTACAAATTTAGTGATCAGCAAAGTTACTGGAGAATGAAAAAAGCAAACATTAGCAAATAGATTTTATGGGAACTAAAACTAAACGGTTACAAACTGTCTTAGAGTTGATACGTTATGGTTGGGAAGTTTACTTATGTTAGTGACATCAGAAATCCTGTACATAAAACTATACAACTTAGGATCTGGTACATACGTAGATCAGGTAACGGAGATGTGTTTTACATCACTACACTGTTTCTGTCTGGGCACCCGGGCAGTATCACAGCTCACACACAAATCAAGTGACTTGTGTGGCGCATATGTATTCGTTGCCCGTTTGTACCAATATTTGTGTTCAAATAAATAGATAAATCACCAATCTGTGAAGGAATTGACCAGATGAAAACTGGTCGAAATAATAATATCGATAAAGCAAAACACAATCATAAACTAAGAGGAAGCTAATTTCCCGTGCTCCAAGGACACGTTAGTTCGGGGTGAAAACAAACTTTAAACTGGCCAATCTCCACAAAAATGTTGACGTAACAGAATACAAAATGATGTTAAAACTCAATAACTAGAAAAACGTAAGGAATGAATATGTCTGGGTCACTAAAAACGCCATCATCTAAAATCTCGAAGAAAAGATTAGGGTAACGTTAGAATAAAGTGGTGCAATATATTAGATAGAAGTTATCGAAGCCAGTTTACAATACTATCCAGCAAACAATTAACTAAGAATACAAATAAGTTGCGTCCAGGTCTGTCGGCGTTTTCGAATGAAATATATAATGTGTAAGTTATTGATACTAATGCAGAACCTAGACGTCAGAGAATGAAGCATATCTAAAACTCACCATATAGTTGTTGGAGTTAACGTTTAAATCTCTGTAATACAAATTAGTTAACAAAAGAGTGGACTAATAACTAAGAAAAAGATTCAAAGTGTGTAAGTTTTATTGGGTATTACAATGAGTCTTGAGTTGTATGCACCAATGACCGTCATAATTCTGATCATAAATGGTTGGTCTTAGGACATTTTACAGATGATTTAGTAGCAGTTGAATAACTTTAAACATAAACAGATGTACTAATCGAACTGTGTTAGGTCTTCAACTTTGTATTTTTAGTCGCTTATCTTTAAACTTGGTTCAAAAGACAAATAACTATTTCGAGACAAGGAAATGTAATATTATACTTTACAGTCATATTGTAACCAGCTTATTTTTCCTAGACCAAATAAAGGAATTTTATTCGTAATTCAGTTCACACTTTTTAATGGCAACTATCTCCTGCGTTGTACTCGCAGCTGCGTTAGGTGTGTTGACTGGTCCCATGGGTTCAACACAATCATAAGTCAGAAGCCAACCTAGTAGTACACTCCTACCAAAATACATATAACTCTTTATGACAATCATAAGCTTAAAATACTGTTCAGCATAAAAAACCAACACAACATGGTCTCGGTATTTCTGTCTAACAATGTGATGTGCGGTATGGATTTTGCTGTGTATTTGCAAGTAATTTATGTAGGCATCAAAATTACGAATGAGATGCGTATAAGTATTAATGAGAACCAGGACAGAATCTAGAAAACCTATGATGGATAAACATGTTTAACAGCCATTTACGAAAACTAAACTTTTCTATAGAGGTAAACTTTCATTTTTGTGTTAAAAAGGTCAGTTTGGCCCTTTGGAAGTATCTGATACAGATGATTTTGCTTTTTGTTTAAATATACGTCCCCTGAAGGTAAAATAAAAAGAAACCGAGAACAATGTAGCAAACGTTATCCGTTCTGTCACACAGACTGCAGTAATTTCCAATCTCTTGACTATGGGAAGTTTCATTAGTTTTAGGTAAAATGCCCTGGTACGGATGAGGGTGAGTAGAATCAGCTTTTCCTCTCAAAATGTTCCCACATAGCCACATGTGTACAGTCACTGTTAAGCAAGTTCTATTCACTGCCTTCTTGAGACATTACTGTTATTTACGAAATTGAAAGGATGAAAAGTGAATGTTTGGCACTTTAACCGGGTTATTGTACACAGAGGGTCTGCCTAAAGGAATTTGAAAACCCTGATTCCAAACCAATCGTGCACACGGACTTCAGAATCCGGAAGGAACAAATGGCGTATGAACCTATTGTTGGTCAGCCTACCATGGGACTGTATCTCCAGGTGTTGCTCTACTACTTTGTGGATTAGACCTTTAAGTAAAGACTTAGGGTGTGGCCCTCTAAATAAACCACCTATTTCGGCTTTGACACCCGGGAAGTATCCCAGTCCTTACATAAATCGGGTGGTTTATGTGGCGCATATGTATTTGATGTCGCGTACCGATTTTTGTTTAAATAAATAAAAGACCATACATGGTCTCAAGATTGGGCGATGGCTCATTATATCTACGACGTTCGCTTTATGCTCGTGTGTTAATAAGATCCGAAGTGATATAGAAGCTCTACAGGAGCTAGCGCGAAAGTTTATAAATCCTATAACATGAACAATTCAGTTAGACTGGGCTTATCCTAATATCAAGTTGTCATCAGTCTATGTGAAACAATAAAGATAGCTAATAATTTTTTATGAACTGATTGGAAAGTCTTCATAGACAGTGCACCGTTAATGGGAAGCCAAGCAACTGTAAATACAAAAATTCCACACGGAGCTCTAAGTAGGTCAACTTACGTGGCGCGTGGACTCCTCTCTCAAGGACAAACTAGAAATGCTTCAGTATTCAAACGGACGAACTCAAGTGTTATATGTCAGGGATTTTGAATTGTCGTTGTATAGTGTCCTCCATCTATTGTCCGAAAAATTGCTTTCTCACAAGTTACTTTTAGTTCTATTGAGTCAAACTAAGTTATGACGGAAAGCGAGAGATTATTTACAGCATGGTTTTCAAAGATTCACAGGTTAATATCAATCCGTGATATAAACCGTCAGCGAAATATTTGCCTCACTTGTATGCATGTTGAAATCTGATCAAGATCAATCAGTCATCGCCTATAGTTCCTCGATTGATTGTCATGTTTTCGAGTTTGCTAAATTGTCACATGCTTGAAGGTCATATTCTGCTACTATAATAACAACTTTTGTATCAGTTTTGTTTGAGTTGCTTGTTCTGCCACAAATATCAAGTTACCTGCAAGTTCGTCTTCTCTTTTAGTCTCCGAGGAGGGATATGTTGGGTATAATTTACTGTTGTCAGTTTCGAAGAGAACCGATAATTTTCAAGTAACTCAATCGTCTTCGTTTCTAGATCCATAAACCTCAACTCCTGGATATGTTTGTGATATACTACTCGTAGGAACAGTGGTTTTAACAGGATATCACAGAGTTTAATGTGTAACATAAATTTAACCGAACCATCACTTTAAAAGAGCGTAACATCAAAAAATTGTAGGGAGGGTGATTTTACCGGCCAGGCAAAATTGACGGTGAGAATGATGGCTTCGATCCTCTCACGTTAGTAGAGAAAAACATTTTATTCTTTTCAGGCTCTTTATGATGGAATTGCAGCAATTATTTGATGATAATGGCATCGCTCTTCTATGCTTGTTAGTTCTCCATTTCGTGTTTTCAGCCTAAAGCTGACTTTAATGGTCTGCCAAGACGACCTACCCTATGCAAGTTCCGAATCTTAAGCTGATGCCGCAAGTTTGACACCTGATGATACTGATTATGAAAAGAGTCACACATAGAAAAAGGGTATTATGATAAAGTTAGCCTGGTACAAAAGACGTTTGAAAGTAGCAGATACATATGTGATTTACACTTAACACCTTCAATTAGTTCGAACCCATTCTAGTTTGTTACGACTTATTATGCACCGTATTGAGTTCCTGTAATTTGTCTCTTCTTTCATTACTGATAATTCATTCTAGCGAAAAAAACTAGTTTAAGTTCCAGCCTTTAATTAAACATACCTTGATTTGTCCATGTGCACACAGCCAGACTTTGTCAACCGCCCATAGTCATTGGTTCTCTAGCCTTTTTCTCTTTCCTTCTTCGTAGCAATACAATTTTAGCACTCAGCAATGAAGTTTTGACTGAAGCATGGACCACATGTGTGTTTGTCTGGGTCACAGGTTAGAAAAACTGTGAACTGACCGTACGGTTATATCAGATTAACCTATTTAATAAGTAAAACAAGAATTTCAGCGAAGGGATCTCTTTTCAAGGAATTTATTATCAAGCTGTACAACCGTATATATATGAAGATTTTGTTTTTGTAAAAGTACTAATTCCGTGAGAAAATGTGAATACAGTTAATAAAAAGGTTATAATACTAGATTACGTAATAATAACAATTGATTTAGTGAATATAATAAGGTGATTAAACTGGTTAAAATGTTTTTGTTATAATAATTAAAGGTCATAGAGGTGCAAAAAATAAAGTGATATGATGAGCATTCATGAATATAACAATGAGAATAAAAGACATAAGTAAAGAGGAGAATGCAGTAATAATAATAATAATAATTGGATAATCAAAGTACTTAAGGCCAAGGTAACAGTAACGATAAGACGTACTTCTTTTGTACGCATAGTTCTGGTTTAAGCTCCTGGATGGTAAGGGCTTCGGTTATTTTTAAAACTTGGATGCGAAGAAATCTGGGTAGATTTGAACGAATCATATAAACAACCTTTAATTCATTTTTTCGATCTGCTGGATGGTAACAGTCGATTAGGTGTTCAATTATAGAACTCCTAAATGCTTTCCTTTCCCCTTATAGAACCAAGCCGGAATATGTTCCCGTATCCGAGTTGAAAGCGAGCGCTGGCTACGGCCAATGTACCTTGCTCCACAAGAGCAGGTGAACTGGTAGATGCACATGAAGCGACCAGACGTGGAAGCCTGTCTTTTATGAACACAGAAAATAAGTTCCTACTCGTGAAGGTTATTCGCAATTTAGCTGCATTAAATGTTCTACTAATAGTTGTTGTTAGATGATTTTTG